AGGAAGGAGGGAAGGTAGGAAGGAAGGAAGGAAGGGAGAGAGGAAGGAAGGTAGGAAGGAAGGAAGGAAGAAGGAAGGAAGGTAGGAAGGAAGGAAGGAAGGGAGAGAGGAAGGAAGGTAGGAAGGAAGGAAGGAAGAAGGAAGGAAGGTAGGAAGGAAAGAAGGAAGGGAGAGAGGAAGGAAGGTAGGAAGGAAGGAAGAAGGAAGGAAGGAAGGTAGGAAGGAAGGAAGAAGGAAGGAAGGAAGGGAGAGAGGAAGGAAGATGAGTGAGACACAGCCCCTTCACTAAAAGGACTTAGAATCTGCTACAGAGATGGCAGCTGTATAACCAGGTGGCATGCAAGGCCGAGGGCATTCTGGTCTGTGGTCCGTGGCTTCCCCACGGCTTCTGCCCTGTGTGGCTCAGTTCTCTCCATCACGCTCCCCAAACCAGGTGATGTCCGTGGCAACTCCCTCCCAATGTCCAGATTCCATCCACCCTCCACACTGCCCCACAGTGACGGGAGAACAGAACAGAGCTGAGCACAGGACTCTCCTGCCTAGTCTTCCACTTAAGGCCTGTTGCCTCAGGATTTAGCATCTCAGCCATCCGTGTCCCAAGTCGTGTTCCTTCATGATTTCTCTTCCTTGTACTTCCCACTGGCAATTGCCTCTGCCTTCATTTTCACCTGGTGAACTCCTATTTAACCTTCAAGGCCCAACTCAAGCCGAGTGAGCCTGGGCCATACTTAACCACTTGTCTCTGTGAGTCTTAAGCTTGTCACCCTTCCCCTGCACAACTGATCCCTATGGCCTATCACACTGCACTGTCATTGGACCACTTACCCATCTTCCTCCCTAGGCCACAAGCTCCTTGAGGGCTATGATGTGTCTTTCCTGTCTGAATACAAGCTCCTAGCACAGGGCAGGAGTTACTGCTCTTGCTGTGCTTCATTTGCAGGGGCTCAGTTGTGGGATGGACGATGAGTAAATGAACACAGGATGGGTTCAATAAATTATCTGGGCTAAGATCACACAGTTAATCAATTGGCTTTTATCTCTTCTCACAAGGGGGAACAAGCTCACATGCTTTCTAGAGCCAGGTAGATTTAGGGGTATCCCCCCAAAATGGGGTAGGACTGGTACACCGGTAGGGAGCGCAGCAGCAATCACACAGCCAGCTTTTTGAAGACGAGTCAGTGTGGTCATGATTAGACCAGAAGTTCCCAAACTTATTGACTCAGTAATTTTACCACAGCACTTCTAGGCCAAAAGATCTATCTAAAGCCCCATTTACTAAGTAGGTAAGTCCAAACAACTTAATAAATATTTATGCCTTAACAACTTAGTGCCTGCTGTGCATTGCACAACTTCTCAAGCTTTAGGATCAGGTCGGATACCACCACCTTTATTTCCTGTTCCACACTGATTTTTGTGCTATACTTGCTTTTGAATCACAGGACCTGTGGAAAACCCAGCTTTGCAAAGATACCATGCCATCAAAAGGGAGAAAGTGAGAGCTAATGTAAAAACTATGAATACTTTGAGCTAGTAGTTTGCATGGTGTCTGGAAAATGCTACATATCACTGTACTTCCCTTGAAAAATTAAAATATCTCATAGCAGCCCTGTGAGTTCGCAGTGGTGCCCTGGGGTACACCAGTACACGGTTTGAGAACCATGCAATTATCCAATAAGTAATAACGATGATACAATAATTTGCATTTATCCCTTGGTTTCAGTTTCCAATGGGTTTGGAATCTCTATTGATATCGCTCTCTGAGTTATGGACCAAGAGGAAGCATGTAAGTTATTCACATATTGTTTAAAGAAGTAAACATCTTTAATGGCACTATAACTGACTCTAGATCATCTTTATAAATTCAGAAGATGAGTTGCTAACCAAATAATAAGCTTCTAGAATCCTACAAGTCATCCATGTAAGACCCAATGGTGGACAAAGTACTATTTATGGCCCCAGGAACCTCCCCGGAATGTGATTACCGAAGAGACAATAGAATCAGTGTCTGGACTCATATTTCCCTACCTTCCATTCTTTGCCATGGCTAATGGCCTAGTCAAAAGCAGAAAAACAAACTAGAACTAAAAAGTACTGAATTTTGTCAGTCTAGGGGAGCTGAACAAACTCAGACTGTCTTACCAGTCCTTGCCCTAAAGACACCAAAAACACAAGAGGCATCTCCAAGTTCAATCACAGCCTGATTCCCAAAGTCATGAGGAAAGAAGATATATGGGTGAATTTTTTTCCAACTGGAAAAGTCCTGCTTGACCTTGATTCCTCTTCTCTTGCATAGGCAACCAGCATCAGCAATGAACTTGGCAGAGAAAGAATTAAGGAAGAGAAAAGAAAAACCCTTGTATTTACTCTCTTTAAATCAATCTATTTTTCTTTATTAGAGGAGGAATACACTTCACTGTAGATGAAATAGAAATCACAAATATGCAAAAAGGGAAGAAGGTGGAATTATCATCTAATTATTCAGAAATTACCATCTACTTCCAGATTCTTTTCTTTATACACATTCATTGTCTTTCTTTTCTTTTTTATTGTAATTGCAAATAAAATAATAGTTTCAAAGCCTTTTATGTTTCACTAGAAGACATATTGTGAATATATTTCCATTTCAAGAAATAAATAATAAATGAAGCATTCCTTTGACAGCTACATAGTATTCTATGAAAAAATGTGATATAATTTAGTTTTTAAATCCTCCAGCATTGAATGTCTATGTTGTTTTAAGATGTTTGCTGATATAAATGATGCTGTGATTAAAATCCTCATAGTTGAACATTTGAGAGCACATCTTTCTTTTCTTTTTCCTTTTTTTTGAGATGGAGTCTTGCTCTGTCTCCTAGGCTGAAGTGCAGTGGTTCACTCACAACTCACTGCAACCTCTGCCTCTGGGTTCAAGCAATTCTCCTGCCTCAGCCTCCTGAGTAGCTGGGTGTCTGCCACCACACCCAGCTAATTTTGTATTTTTAGTAGAGATGGGCTTTCACCATTTTGGCCAGGATGGTCTATATCTCTTGACCTCGTGATCCACCCACCTCATCCTCCCAAAGTGCTGGGATTACAGGCGTGAGCCACCACGCCCAGTTGAGAGCACATCTTTATCTTCTTAGAAATTCTTCGAATTGGAATTTCTGGGTCACAGACTACACATAGTTTTAAAGGTTTTTGATTGCCAAACTGTCTACCCTGCCAAAAAAACGTTTAAAATTTAAATATGTACCATTTTACCCTTCTGCCATCCATGTATAAAAGGGCCACAAATGTACTTCTCAAAAATTCTTTATGCTAGTTTATGTTTTTGATGCCAAAGCAACTGCTAAATAACGTAAATGAGTGAGGGAGAGGGTGGTGTGGGGATACTACTACTTCCCTGCTTAAATTTAGAAACTAAACTACCCCTGAGAATTTCTCATTAAGTGGATTTTATGAAGACTTCCTGCCAGAAAACACCCCACAGTCATTTATGTTCCATGCAGAGAAAGAAGCTATGAGCAGAATTCATCATGAAAGTCTTCACAAAACCTTGTAATATAAACATCTAGAGAAGGAATATGGGGTTAAGATGGAGAACCAAGAGTAAGGTCATCAGAATTACAGACATGCCCAGAGCACAGCCAGCCAGAAGGGCTCTGAAAATGCACACTGGGTGGCAGAGGGTGGAAGCAGACACTGCCAGCGGGCACGTTATTGATTATGAAAAATGCCAGAGTGAAAGGGCCAAGGTATGGCTTTCTCAGCCTGGTAAGCTGGCCTGAGGCTCTGTAGATTCTGCTGTTGTAACGTACAACATTCATATGTCAACAACTCCCAAGAGCACTACAGAAGAAAAAACACAGGCTTCAAACACCCCAGATAGGCACAACGGCTCCAGTGCTCAGGAGCTACAGCATTGAAGGCGACCTTTTAACTCCTCTGAAGCTTAATTTGTCCATGTGTAAAATGGGTTCAGTAATAACACTTCTCAGAGGTTTGTGGTGAGGATTGAGATGATGTGTGAGGAAGTATTCTATGATAATATCCCGAGTGCCATCTCAGGGGTTGGCATGTGGTCGGCAATCCACATTTGTGAACAAAACTACACAGTAAGCTGGATACACTCACTCAGCATTAAGGTGAGATATCCAGAGAGTGGAAGGAAGGACGAGTGCTCTGAGTCAAGTCTCCCACCAATGGCCCCATCCCTAACAGACTGAAGGCCTCGGACCAGAAGCAGGCCAGTGCCGCCTGCCTTAAGGATGTTCTGGTCACTTGGGGAAAGGCTGCTGTGATGGCAAGAATTCCATGAAACCATCGATTGGGCTCACATTTACAATCCATGAAAGCCTGAAGGCAGCCTCTAGGCGAATCTGGATGTAGGAAATCTGGTAGGGTTTGTCTGCCTCTCTAGCTCCAGGCTTGCAGCAAAGAAAGCCTGAGCAGGTGAAACCCTCATAAGATCGGGTACCACAGCCTGCCCTACATGGGGGCTGGAGGAGCTTAGAATTCCAAGTCCATGAACAGGGACTAACCCTGCCCAAGGAACAAAGGAGGAAGAGAGCTGTTCCTTAAGCTACTTTCTTTACTCAGAAGAGTGGAACTGGGGTTCCTTCCCATCATCCTTTTATACTGCCCATAACCCAGTATCAAAATGGGAACTTGGAAAGAGGACGAAGATCTAATTTTCTTGAATAGAATAAAGCAAGCTACCAGCATGTCCACCTATAGAGGATAGTTAAATATATTACAACAAATCCTTAAAGCCCTTAAATGTCATACCATGGATCTACATTCACTGATACGGACAAATGTTGCTCAACTTATCTGAGACTCAGTTTACTCATCTGTAAAGGGGGATTAACAAGAGAACCTCCCTCTGCAGGGTTCTGATATAATATAAAGAACGGGGGTCACCTGGCACTCAACCCAGTGCATTGCAAGTGTTCCATAAAAATGTCAGCTGTTATTAGCGTATTTTGTTAAGAAGAAAGCAGATTAAAAATTATATTTATAATATGTGCCTGTGTTTGTTTTAAAAAAAAAAACTGTATATAGGCCTGGCACAGTGGCTCATGCCTGTAATCTCAGCACTTTGGGAAGCTGAGGCAGGTGGATCACTCATGGTCAGGAGTTCGAGACCAGCCTGGCCAACATGGCAAAAAACGCCATCTCTGCTAAAATACAAAAATTAGCCGGGTGTGGTGGCGCTTGCCTGTAATCTCAGCTACTCGGGAGCTGAGCAGAAGAATCACTTAAACTTAGGAGGTGCAGGTTGCAGTGAGCCAAGATCGCACCACTGCACTCCAGCCTGGACAACAGAGTGAAGCTCCATCTCAAAAAACAAACAAACAAACAAACAAAAAACTGTATGTAAACAATGGTAGAAAAATGTCTGAAAGTATAAGCCCCCAAATGTGAATGAGGGTGATCTCTACCTGGTGGAAGCAGAGTGATTTGTAGTTTGCATTTCACTTCTTTGAATTGTATAGGCCTTAAAAAAAAAAAAAAATTAGCATTCTCTGTTTTTGTAACGGAAAGGAAAAAGGAAAATGAACAGAAAGGAATGGAACAGAAAGGAAAGGAAGGGAAGGGAAGGGAAAGGGGAAAGGGGAAAGGAGAAAAGGGAAAAGGGAAAGGGAAGGGAAGGAAAGGAAATAGAAAGGAAAGGGAAGGGAAGGGAAGGGAAGGAAAGGAAAGGAAAAAGAAGAGGAAGGAAAGGAAAAGGAGAAAAGAAAATGGATTTGCTTACCCTAAATATTCAAGCCTGGGAGAACACCGAAGACAAAACAGAAGAGCATATACAGCAATTGTAAGTGCTATTTGCAGAATTCACGCTGATGCGGGAAAATGCTTATAATATGATGCCGGGGTGGGGGAAGCCAGGATACAACATGTTTTATGCTTCCTAATGTCAATTGTTGTAAAAAAAAAATGCATAGAGAAAAGATTTGAGGACAATATGCCAAAATATGAACAGTGATTACCTTTGAATGCTAGGATTATGGTTGCTCATTATTAATACTGTTTTCTCTTTTCCAAATTGCTTACATGAGGCCTCAATTGCTTCTTTTAAAACAATCAGAAAATATGCACAACTGATAATGATAGTAATAATGAACTGCTCTTACTTGCTTGATGGAAACCAGCAGGACCAGGGCAAGGATGGGCCTCCCAGGGGCCCATATACACTTTGTGTAGAGGGGGAAAGGGCTGGTCCCCCAGGGGGCACGGATGCCCATGGGCAGCTCGGGGATGCCAGGCAGGAGTCCCACGCTTCCTCTCCCAGGCCCTGCCCTGCTCGATCCCAGCTTCATCTTCCTCATGCACCTTCACAAGTGGGGGCACATCTCCGTAGCCGTCCTAGATGCACTGCAGGCCGTCTCCTCTCGCATTCCTCTCGGTCCAGAGAGGAAATGTTTGCACAAATCCTCTCCACGCCGTGCAGAGAGAGTCTGAGGCGGTCTAGAGCAATCTACAGAGTCTTCAGAGTTCCTCCTCAGCCGTGGCTCATCCCCCGCCCCTGCCCCCCCAAAAGCGGGGAGATTTTTCCCAGACCTTCCCTAAGTCAGCTATGCTTTCTGGGACTTCTCGACAGGCTGAGGAGAAAGAACAAGGCAGTCAGCGGGCTCCTCCCTGAAGGTTCTGCTCAATGAACAAGGCTGGGCTGAGACAGGCTTGGGTTCGAGCTGCAGAGGAATGGCTGGCGGAAGGCAATGGGCCTCAAGCCAGTTCAGAGGCAGGTGTCTTTTTGAGGTGGGGTATTTCTTTCTAAGGCATTAAGCTTGTCCAAGCCGCACTGAGACTAACCACAAAGGCAGAATCTCCTCTGGGTCCTGTTTATGCAGAGATTACAAGAGAGTCAGTTGCTCAGCTTAGGAGAGAACAGCTCCCAACCCAGGCTGTGAAGCAAAAACCCAATCGGCGGCTTAGATTATGCCTACACAATAGCAAACCAATGTGTCGAAAGGTTCAGCATTCACGCGTCTTGAATACCCGCTCGTTCTGAGCACATGTGGCTTAGCCCACCGACAGACCCTTTTATACAATTCATGATAGGTCGCTTACTAACCGGCACTGGAGTACTCTCTCCCCACAATTCGCCTTGACAAAATCTTTCATCCTGACAATAACCCCATGAGGATACAATGAAGTCTCCATCTGATAGCTGAGAAACACTGAGGCTCAGAGAGGTTGGCTGGCTTGCCCAAGGCCACACAGCAAGTAAACAGCAGAGCCAGGATAGGCAGATCTTCTGACCAGAGGTGCCTGAGCACAGCTTCTGGGGAAGGTGCCCAGTCCTGCCCCTGCCCTCTCCAGGTGAGTTTCTCCAAAAGGCTCTCCTTGGAACTTCTCACCCCACCTCTCCCAGGCCAGCTCCCAGTGTCCCCTGCAATGTCTCCCAGCCTCGCAAACTGGAGGCTCAGGTGGAAGATGTCTTGATTGAATGGAACAACAGGTCAGCAAGAGGCAAGAAGAACATGTTTTCACTTCGTTTTTTATTTTTATTTATTTATTTATTTATTTATTTATTTATTTTGGTTTTGTTTCGTTTCTCCCCCTTCAAGTCAAAGCATAGGAACTCATCCTGGGTAACTTTTGAACTGAGTGAATTCTGAACAGTTGGGAAAAGCAGCTGTGCTTTTCTAAACGGAAATTTTAAAAACTCATGGCCAGGCACGTGGCTCACGCCTGTAATGCCAGCACTGTGGGAGCCCTAGGCAGGCAGATCATGAGGCCAGGAGATCGAGACCATCCTGGCCTCCATGTGGCAAGATTTTAGACCTTAACCATGAAATGCTCAACTAGAACAAAGATCCTAGACACGGACTCAGAGTGGTGTCACCTCTGGAATCGATGTGGTCGTCTCTTTGGGACGGCAGAGAGCAGGATGGAGTGACCCAGAGGGATTGCCCAAGGGATGGGCTTTGGCCCTTTAATATGGCTGCAACTCTGTTTTGTGAGTTCATTAAAGACCATCTTCAAAGTTGTATGCTGGAGGATGATCTGTCTTTAAAGAAAACATCTGCTTTGCAAGAATAGTCTGTCTCATCTCTTTCAACTTTTTCTGAAAAACTTCCTTTATTTCTGAAGGGATGAAGGTTGGGGCCACACACTTTTTCCCCACCCATTGGGCGGGTGCCCTCTAGCGATGAAACGTGGTGAAGCCTCTTCCCTCGAGACTGGGCAGCCACCCGGCCAATGAGTGCACAGGACATGGGTGCTCAGACTTGGCCAATGGCAAAGTACAGATGGAATGATATTAACCCACTATCACTGTCTAGCCCAGGCACATAGATTCCGATTCTGTCTGGGGCATTCAGGAGGTGTCTAACACGTCATCAGGAACCTGTGTGTTTTTAGGATGCTCTGTGGAAATTTCTCCTGCCCTCACTCCTTCATCAGTGTCCTCTGCTTGAGGGGCTCCTTTAAAATCTTCAGCATCAGCCAGGCATGGTGGCTCACACCTGTAATCCCAGCACTTTGGGAGGCTGAGGCGGGCAGATCATGAGGACAGGAGTTCGAGACCAGTCTGGCCAACATGGTGAAACCCCGTCTCTACTAAAAGTACAAAAAAATTAGCCGGGTGTGGTGGTGTGCGCCTGCTGTGTGGTGGTAATACCAGCTACTCAGGAGGCTGAGGCAGGAGAATTGCTTCAACCCAGGAGCAGAGGTTGCAGTGACCTGAGATTGTGCCATTGCACTCCAGCCTGGGCAACAGAACGAGACTCCATCTCAAAAAAAAAAAAAAAGAACAAAAAAAACAACTCTTCTGTGTCACTGCCTCTGCCAGTGCTCCCTTCAGTGAGGACCTGAGCGATGGTGCCCAGGGTTCTGTATTCTAGCATCTGAGGCCCCTGGCACCCAAATGGGATGCATGCCACCCTTCCCATTCTGGACAGCACCCTGGCCCTGTGGCAGCTTGCCTGTACCTAGAATCCCCCAGGGTCCCTGGAACAAGCATCTGTTTTCCATAGTCCTTCTCTACATAGGACTGGATGAGAATCAGGCCTATGAAGTCCTCGAGAGTCCCTGATTCCAGAATCCAACAATGAGGACCCTGCCCCATGCAAAAGGCAAAGGTGAGGCTGTCTTACAAAGACAGCCCTCCCCCTCAAACAGCCCCTGGTCTTCCATCAAAACCATCGCCCTCCACAACAGTCAAAAAGTGGAAGAAACCCAGGTGTCTGAATAGATAAGCAAAATGCGATCCAATAAAGTCAGGGAAAATTTCTGCCTTGAAAAAGGAAGGATAGTCTGGCACATACTACGACATGCATGAAGCTTGAGGACATTGTGCTAAATGAAGTAAGCCAGTCACAAAGGGACAAATGCTGTGTGAGTCCACTTATGGGAGGCACCTAGAGTAGGCAAATTCATAGAGACAGACAGAAGAAGGCGGGCTGCCAGGAGTGGGGGGAAAGTCATGGGGAATTGTGTGGCAGGTGTGGAGAATGCAAGATGAAGAGCTCCGCAGGTGGATGGTGGTGATGGTCACACAGCACCGTAAGCATAGTTATGCCACTGAACTGTGCACTGAAAAATGGTTGAGATGGCCAGGAGTGATGGCTCGTGCCTGTACTCCCAGCACTCTGGGAGGCCAAGGTGGGTGGATCGCCTGAGGTCAGGGATTCGAGGCTAGCCCAGTCAACATGGTGAAGCCCCGTCCCTACTGAAAATACAAAAATTAGCCAGGCATGGTGGCAGGTGCCTGTCATCCCAGCTACTTGGGAGGCTGAGGCAGGAGAATCGCTTGAACCCGGGAGGTGGAGGTTGCAGTGAGTCAAGACCGTGCTGCTGCACTCTAGCCTGTTGACAGAGTGAAACTCTGTCTCAAAAAGAAAAGGGTTGAGATGGTTCATTTCACGTTATGTGTGTTTTACCACAATTAAAAAGCAATGCCCTCCTGCACACCTACCTCCTGGGGAGAATGGCAGGGCCAGCACCCTTGCTGGATGTGGTAGGGCAGCACATGCAATTCCCCAGGGGGACCTGAGAGGAGGCTGTGTGAGGATGCCAGATGGCAGGTACTGTGACGAGGCGGGAGGAGGGGACCCCACAGCTCATCCTGCGCCACACAGCTCACTCGGCCATGGACAGGGCCAGGCAGCAGCAGTCGCTGCTCCTCTTCCTCATCTGCCTCGCCCTCGCCTTCTCCCTCACCGCCGTGGTCAGCAGCCACTGGTGTGAGGGGACCCGGCGGGTGGTGAAGCCGCTGTGCCGGGACCAGCCGGGAGGACAGCACTGCATTCACTTCAAACAGGACAACAGCAGTGCTGGCAGGATGGGCAACGACAGCCAGGCTGTCCTGTACATTTGGGAGCTGGGGGACGACAAGTTCATTCAGCGTGGGTTCCATGTGGGGCTCTGGCAGTCCTGCGAGGAGAGCCTCAACAGTGAAGGTGAGCACAGCCTGTAGATTCTGGGGTTGACGGGTGCGGGATGGGGCAGGGGCTCTTGAGCCAGGCTGTCTGGGTTTGAATCCTGCATCTCCACTGACTGTCTAGGTATCCTTGAGCAAGTCCCTTCGCCTCTCTAAGCCTCAGTTTTCTCATCTGTAAAATGGGAATGATAGCAGTACTTACCTCCTAGAGTGACTGTAAAGATGAAATGACCAGACTCACATAAAGTGCTTGCCACAGGGCCTGACACATTGCAAGTGTTTATTAAAATTAAGTTTTCTCGTTTGTTCTGGTCACCCGATCCCTGTTAGTTAAAATCCTTTGGGAATCAGAGGTGGCCCTAACCCAGCTCTAATGGGCAGCCCTGTTATTTCTCCTGCAGTCGCAATGATCTTGGAGAGCATCTTAAAAAAAAAAAAAAATTTACCTCTCAAAGAATTGAATTGGGAGCAATTTGACCCTTTCAAACTAGTCTGTCTGGCTCCAAGCCCATGCTCAGGGACAGAGTATTCTCCCCTTTCTGCTTAGGAAACAAAACCTCCAGGGTAGAAAAAGGAGGAGTCCTCCTCCCATTCCCATTTCTCTCCTGACTTCAGCTCACTACAGTAAATTTCCTGTACAGCTTTTTACTTTTCCTGGAGTTTTGAATTGCCTTTTCTTTTTCCATTCTCATAGCATTTGTTTTTTTATTCCTGAGTCCTAAGTAAAAGGCAGCAAGAATGAACCTGCTGAGGCCCAGCATGGTGGCTCATTCCTGTAATCCTAGCACTTTGGGAAGCTGAGACAGGAGAATTGCTTCAGACCAGGAGTTAGAGACCAGCCTGGGAAACATAGTGAGACCTCTCTTTACAAAAACTTGTTTTAAAAATTAGCTAGGCATGCTGGCGTGTGCCTGTGGTCCCAGCTACTCTGGGAGGATCACTTGAGGCTGGGAGGTTGAGGTTGCAGAGAGTCATGATTATGTGACTGCACTCCAGCCTGAGACCCTGTCTTAAATAAAAAAAAAAAAAAAAAAAAAAAAGAAAGAAAGAAAAAGAATGAACACTCTGAGATGCTGTATGTTCCTCCCCACCACCCTCCCTCCCAGTAGTGGCCACTGTGGGGCAGTGCCTAGCCAGACTGACCCTTGCATGTATCCAGACCAGTGCCTGTGTCTTGTGCTTTAAGTGTGGTGCAGACACTGCAATAGTGCCTGGAGCTGGGGCTATTTAGGGACCTCCCCAGCTCTTCTCTTCTCAGGGAGTGCTTTCTTCCTATGAGTCTCTTCTCTACCTTCATGGACAGATGCAAAATTCTCAGGACCCTGTATCCTGGAGGGTTTCCAAGAGAGTTCCAGAATTTTGGCTTGGAAACTATATTCACAATACTTATAGGCAAATTGCTTGGGGAATTCCACTTCCTTTCCAAGTCTCATAGGAGGACGGCCT